TCGGGGCGGCTTGGCGTGAGGGGGCGGCGGCGCCTCATGCGGTCTGTGCTTCGCTCGAAACTTCCCAGAAAGTAAGCACTTCTGTCTTGTGTTTGTGAGACCCCGAGTTTACAAAATACTTGTTTATCCCGAATGCCTGAGGAAAGCTTTCTCTGTGGGGCGCGTAGCGAAAACTGCCTGCAAAGTCGTAGTTGCGTATTTGTTGCTTTTCAATATCGATGTTATTTACGAGGCTGCTGGAGTCACCGGTTTTTTCTCCTCAGGGTGGGGAAACTACTGCAAAGAGTGCCAAGTCAGCAAAACGGGAGTAAGTCAGATAAAGAACACACTGGGGCTACAGTGAAAGTATACGAAGAGGCCGAACTAATTAAAAGATGTAAAATTACAGTGTTGAGAGTTTAGAGCCTGAAGATCCTCAGTTACCTTGAGTGGAGACCTGGCAGTCGCCAGCAGAAGCAGGCTTTGTAAACATCGAAAAAGCCACACAAAGAAATGTACATTTTAAACAAAAACATGTAGGAAGTAGTAAGCCATAATTAAAAAAAAAAAATAGAGATAATGATTAGTCTTGTGAATTATTACTGGACTTAACATTTAGGGCCTACACAGGTCAAAAAATAACTTTGAGAACTTACTCCACTTACTGGAGGGCCCCATAAATACAATGTGGACCCAAAAACTTTTGACGAGATTAAATCATTATGGGAAAAAAATCTAGAGAGATCAACTAAATAGCAGAAGAAAATAGAGCATGCTAATTTCCTTTCTACGGTCTTAAGAACTCTTACATTTGATAATACTTTGCTAGGGTAAACTGCAGTGGTTAAAGGACTGCGTATGCTGTGCATCAGTAATTTTGTCATTAAAGATCTATGATGCATATGATTTAATATGGAGAACAAAGTGCACATAAAGAGCATATGGTACATTTTTGTTCAATAGCTTAAGCACATTAGCTTCAGCTCCTTCAAAAAAATCTCTAATCAACTCCATGACAAGCTACAAGCTGACATGTACTCTTGTGTGACCAGTCAGATGACATGACTCAGCAGAGAAAATTTTAGAGGCCTAAGGTGCAGAGAAAGTTCTTGTGATTTAGTAGCAACACTTTTTTTTTTCCTTGGACTGTACAAAGAGTTCTGTGTAAAAACAGGGAATTAAGCTATTTTAAAGCAGAGCGTAATAAAGCATACAGTAGGTTTTCATGACAGTATTCTACCAGACATTGTATGTTTAAGTACTGTAGCAACTTCCTCACAAAGCCTTTTTGTCTAAAACACCCACATGCTTTACAATAGTCCCTCTGAGTTTTGTGATTTTGTTTTAATTCCAGTTTGGAGTATGCGTTTGCTACCTCAGAAAATAATTTCTGTTTTGTGCAAATGCTTTCTCCTGTATGTCCTTGTTATTAATCAGATACATTCTTCAGGCGTGTATTTGACACAAATTAAGTCAAGCTCCCACTATGGAGCTCTTAAAATGTGAAGGGGCTGGTTCCTGAATGTGGCACCCACTCATTTAAGAGTCCTAGAATTTCACTTGTATCAGTCATACTGGCATGATTCCGAGTAGTGTTTGTAAACTTAAAAGCTTTAATTCAGTATACCAGCTGTGAATTAGGGAAAGGAATTGGCACTTCCAAAAGATTGTTTAGAGGGTTTTTTTCCTGTGCTATGGGAGTAGTCTTTGATCGCTTGGATTGCTCTGTGCTCCTTGCTGTGCTTTGGGATGTGGTGATTGTATGAAAAGCTTAATACTGGTTTTAGTCTTAGCAATGAGACTAGTAGTACCTTGTGAATAAAATCACAGGACCCATAATCCAGTTTTTGCATTATATTCTTTGGGAGTTTGCTGCAGGACAGTTTGTACAAATGTTTACTCCAGTGGTTGTGGTGGAGGGCCAAGCTCTGAAGGATGCCGACACAATTAAATCATAGGGACAGGGCTATTATTTAAAAAAAAAGAAGGCATTTTCCAAAAAGAAGGGCACAAAGGAAGTTGTGTCCAAAAAATGAAACAGAAAGGATCATAAAGCTTTGTGAAATGTGGAAACACATTAAGGCAAGCGAAAATGAGTTAGAGCAACAACGAGCAAAAAAGTAATCAATATTAGTAGTTTTAGTATTTATGAGGAGAAATCCTGCAAGAGAATCCTGAGGATCCACAGAGAATCAAAGTTGGGTGGGAAGAGCAATCATGATAAAACCAGAACAGAGAAAGTAAGGAGGATTTTTGTTCACTGAAGAGTATCTTGGGAAGATTTCCACAGCAGAACTCTTCCCGTATGGAGG